AGAGGATGCCAGAGGGTTCAACAGGGGAGTCAAAAGGCTTTTTACAGTTTGTTTTTAAAAGGCACAACTAGATGGACCATGTGCTCCACAAAAGATTCAGGGATGCTGATGGCAAATAAGCTTTCAAAGCGATGCACGCTACGGAGACGCTGCATTATTCACAAGCGCAGGTGACTGCAAACAAGACAGCGAAGAGAAGAGGAAGAAATGTCTCAGCCAGGACTAGGAGAAAGAGGGGAAAACCAGGGAGAAAGATGCTGAGGTTTTTTAACATCATGCACATTTAACAGCGTTTACTAAAAACGGCCTGACTGTACCCACTGACCCCATTACTGAAGACGATGAAAATAATTCTGAAAAAGAAAATGAATGCCCTTTGCTAAAAAGGCCAGCTTAATTTTCCAAGCTGGTTCAAAGCTCATCCACCTAGAAAACAACAATGGAGAGCAAATGGACACTAGTACTGGTGTCTCCTGCTTGCCAGATATTTCTCCTGAGAAAAGACATCTCACGTGTCTTATCAGTGATCTCAATAATATCTCAGACTGTGCTCAGACTGGCTAACGCACCTAAATATACAATTAAAAATCTGAATAATATACAGTAAATTCAAACATTTCTCAAGTTCTTCTAGCTAGCTACATTTTTATATTATCTGCGTGTCAACAATTGGCTATTGTTGTTGTTTTTTATTTTGGGAGAAGCATCTGAGAGAAAGTTACTTGCAAATTTTGTGTGTGATAAAATTTTACTGTTTTATTTACTGTATTATTAAATATTTTATATATATTAAATATTTAATAATTATCAATAATGAATAAATAAAATACAAATATCAACTAAATAAATAATAAATACACTTGTTTTTGATAAATGAATAAATCCGTATTTAATAAATATTCACATTTATAACTTAAATTCATATCGGAGACATAAATATTCATATTTAATAAAGTTACATTTTTAATATTCCTTTTGAATAAGAAAAAAACAATTAGATAAAACAAAATCAGAGACAAAGTTACTTGCAAAGTTGATGTGCGATTAAAAACAAATACTTTTTTTCATATTTGATCAATTAAATTAATATTAACTAATTATCCATAATTAATACATAAAATATAAATGTTTAAATAAATAAATAATAAATAAATGCATTTTTTTGATAAATGAATAAATCTATATTTAATAAATATTGCTTTTTAATAAAAATATTCCTTTTTAATAAAAATATTTGTAAAAATTTTAAATAAATAAAACAATTAAATAAACAAAATATTTTATTTATTTATTTATTCAAATGTCCACCCCAACACATTTAAATGATTGCAATAAGATTATTAGTCAAATACTTGTGTGTGTGTGTGCTTCTGAATGAGAATTCTTTGTCTTTACATATTATCTGTATGTCGTCAAATGACGAATTTGTGTCTAGTTTTATTTCTGTGTTTTATTTCTATTTTATTTTCTATATCATGGTAGCTTTCTGGTGAAGCTGGTTAACTAAAGTAGTCTGGGTGGTTAAACTAGTTAAAAAGTATGCTAGGATCAATATACATAACAAAAGCTGGGAACCAACTATGTCAATCTTTTCAGAAGGGTCCATATATTGATAAAATGAAAACTCAGACTGAGATTTTCAGCTCTCAAAATACAAAGTGAGGCATTTTAAACACCCAAATTTGTCCTTGGAGTTCCTGGCATCAGCCTTTACACTCTGATATCCCAACAACAACAATATAACAGACAGCAGAGCAAAACTGATTGTTATTACCGCTGGTGTCTTTTCCGAAATTGTGATTCCCGCTGGTTTCTTCTCCAGCCTCAGCTATTGCACTGAGAGAAACAGACCAACGGTCAGTGATACATTGCAGGGGTGTATTTGATCAATACGTCTGTGCAGCATCTTTAATCTCATTCATAACCTCAATGAGGAGCGACTGAAGAGCTGCTGCTGGCTTTATCTAGCCATTCACCTCCAATGCAATGAGGGACAACGACGTACCACAGGCTTATTCGTCTCAACAGTCCAATCAATTCCTTGCACTTGCAATTTGTGTGATTAACAGGGATCACAAAAACGGAAGAGCTTGGTAGAAAACAGACATTTACAGAAACATGCATAAATTACCGCTTCTGGCTGCAACAAACAGCAGGATTGGGTGAAAACACAAGTGATGAAAACCTCAAAACTTACATAAAAGGGACTAGAGGGGAAACTATTCTGCTTATTTTAAGACCTGAGGCAGCTAATGTAAAATCAATCATGTTAGGGTATTTTAATTGCTACTTAAAAAGAGTTTTGTATTGCCAAGTGTGCACAGACATTTGTATTGATTCAGCAAACAAACCCAATAAAAGCCCTATTACTCCAACAAGATTAGTTTTCGCTACAAGATTATTAATGGATGGAGACGTTTATGAGGTTATCATTTATGCTTAATGTTACTATGCTTTTACTCAGAAGCAGGCCATATTCAGTAGATAAACAACATTACATACTGCTGCAGTCTTTCCATAAAAACAAAGCAATAGCACCACCTTGTGCATCAACCACATTTTCGATATCAGAGTAAGATCATTTGCAATGTAATGCATTTTTTTTAGAGAATGAATACACATGAAAAAACTACAAAGCTGCAACTACAAACATTATTCATGGCAATAGCTACATTTTCCTGACTATTTAATTTAAAATTAATTAAATAAATAAATGTATGTATACATATGTGCACTCACAGTTGTTGTGGTCTGTTCAGAAAGCGCCCTTAAACTATCCTGAGACTCCCAAGGATCACACTACTGCTGGCACCTGGCAAACAGAGATTAGAGATTTATTATATTATTAGACAATAGATAGGCTATTGCAAATTATTTGATGACAGTTTTGAGGAATAGTAAAGACATTTAGGAGGGCTTCTATAAAAGTTCAACAGCCCCATAGTCAATTAGGCTTTAGATATGCTATAGCCAAAGGCACGTGTTATTGCAGATAAATTCTCATTCTAGACAGAATTTGATTGGACAAAATCAATATTTTTGGCCGGTCTTCCCACAAGAGAAATAGGCTACTTCACTGTAAAATATTAAATGCAATGTACATACGATTCAATAAGCGAACAATAGGCTAAATATTACACTAATATTAATATAGGCTTAATATATGTTATATATCGTGATGTGTGTGTGTGTGTGTGTGTGTGTGTACCTGGTATTTATCACGTTATAGTAGGATAGTAATACTAGTAAATTTTGACCTTGTGGGGACATTTTTGAGGTCCCCATGAGGAAACAAGCTTATAAATCATACAGAATGAGTTTTTTTTTGAGAAAGTAAAAATGCACAAAGTTTCCTGTAAGGGGTTGGTTTAGGGGTAGGGTTGGTGTAGGGCAATAGCACATACAGTTTGTACAGTATAAAAACCATTACGCCTATGGAATGTCCCCATAAAACATGGAAACACAACATAGTCTGTACTTTTTATTAGTGGAGAAATAGATTCAGCTTTTTATAGACACAACTTTACTTTAAAAATAGTTATTTACATGCACTTCAAATAAATCCAACACTTAGGCAATGAAATATAAGAATTTACCAGAAAACAGAAAAGAATGGCCATAAATTAATAAAATAGCCTGTGGGGTTTAATATCTGTAAACATTAAAGAAAACAATCCTGTAGTTTCTTCGTTCCTGTTTTGTTTTGCGCGCTTTAAAATGACAAACACATCACTACAGTCTCTGACTGTGAATAAGAGCTGTGATGTAGCTCTGTAAAATGACAGTGATTAACTCTCTGCATTACAGTGACCTCTTTTATATTCATATTAACTGCAATAATATGACATCCACACTTTGTTGTTGCTTGGGTTCAATCAATCATACTGTCCTGCAAAAGAAAGATTAATACAGATCTTCTAAAGCCCTGAGGCTTGGACTTCAAGGCAGTGATAATCACTTTATTGTGACTGGTGCTGTTTCTATTTATGGTAAATGTCAGTAAAATGCTTCATTTGTCCTTTATAGAGGCCGATTATTCCATTCTCAGACAGAATTTTTTTTTTTACAAAAAATATGCAGCAGACAAAACCAGTATGACTGCTGCATATTTTATTGTCTGTATGCATGTCTGCATCACATCATTTTATTGTCCTCATTTGTAAGTCGCTTTGGATAAAAGCGTCTGCTAAATCACTAAATGTAACCTTATCTGTTAAATTCAGTAAGGAGAAGCCAGGGCTGTCCTTAGGGTGGTGCAACTGGTGCCTCCGGGGTCCCCCACGGACCAGTGAACGAACCAGGGGCCAAGTGTAAGCAATGTTGGCTTGCTATCTTGTAACAATAATTCCTTATTTTATCGCAAATTTTGTATAATTTTTCCCTACCACACACACACACACACACACTTATATATAATTTATTTTGCACAGATGTTTAACTTTGAGCTGGAAAACCTGTATTACCATTAGATGTTAGCTGTATTTTTTATTTATTTTTTTCCTAGTATTTTAAACAAAAATCACTATATAAATAAATATCTCCACATATGGTAAATATGAGTAAAAGTGTTGGTGCTTTTAAAAACAGAATAAAAACAATTTCTTTGGAATTGTCATCTGAAATGAAGTGATTGGTGAGGTTTGAGTTGAACCATCATGAGGATAAATGTCTTCACTGAAAAAGTACAAAAAGGAGAGATGAGGTAACAGACAAAACAGAAGCATGAGGTGGATCATTAAGTTTTTCAAAGAACACAAGAGCCTCTTTTCTATTTCCAACCCTATCCTTTAAGCACAACCTTCAGTACAAAAATCTCATTTAATTCCACCTTAGAAGCCCTCATTTGTTTTTACCTTTTTTCTTAAGCATTTCTCAAACATTACTCCAGCCTTTAATACCAAAGCTCTGTGTAGTTGCTGAATATGTACAGTACATCAATACAACATTAACATACAAGCTGAAGAGATTACATTTATTTGGAGGAATCACACTGAGCGGTGTTTATAAAAACAACATTTATTAGTCACGTTCCAATTGACTATTCAACTGAGGATACAGAGATGATACTGAAGATGCTAATAATGAGGGAAAGACGGCAAATCAAACTGATACAAGCCAAATGGAATGTGGTACAAAAAAACAAAAAAGTTGGCATAAATACAAAACATAACTGACAGCACAGCCGTAGCACTTTATATAGCTAAAAGAGAGATCTAATTTACAACTCTACACCTTGTTAAAGAGGTCAAGCTACTTGGAGGCGAGGTTCAGTGCTGCAAATCTATACAGTACATGAGTGGGACCCGTAACAACAAACGCAAGAATCGCTGAACTGAAGGTCCTCGCCAAGTCAGGCGTGACGCCGATCACAATTTGAGCTTCTTCTTGCGGCTGCGTCCATCTGGGGTCCCGTCCTGCTTGCGTTTCTGGGCCTATGGGGAAAGAGAGACGAATCATTAAAAATTCCTCTCCAGCTTACAAACTCAATCTTCAGTTTCGCCAGCAGTTGTTGTGATTGGCACAAGCTCACCGAAGATGTGCGAGGGCCCCTCTTCTTCTTCTCTGCTTTCTCTCGCTCTTCCAGCTCCATGTTCTCCCGCTCGATGAGCGTGATCAGTGTGTTACATCTCCTCTGAAGCTCCTGCGGTTACATCACAGTGTTAGGACATTTCGAATGGATGAATATTATATGATTGCTCGTGATATGGCACATAAATCTCACCATAGCAGTGCGGGACTTGAGGAACCAGTCAAAGCGGAACTGGGGCGAGTTGCGGATGCACTGGCGCAGCTCATCATAAACGCTCTCCTTGTCAAAGCCCAGTTTGTGCAGCATGCAGATGAGAAATCGATCCTCCTCCTCTGTGTAGTTCTTGCCTTTGTTTGTGCCGTACGAGATCCTGAGCTGATGGAACGGCGCCTTATAACGGCCAATCTGAAGAGAGAAAAACAAAACATTATGCCTTTCAATCAGTGGCATTTTAGTATCATATACTTTTTTATACAGTTTATTAATATTTTGCATTAGATTTTTTTTGTTTGCACTTCAATTTTAGTAATTTTGGAGGGGTGCTTTATCCTTTTTATTAGTTTTTTTTTTGTCTATATGGCATTTATAACGTATTATTTATTCTTTTTTGTTTATTTATAGTTATTTTAAACTAAAACTTAAACAAAACGGAAATAGAAATTGCCTTGGCAATCAGTTAATCATTTTATTTCAAGTAACTATGTTTATGGTTTTAGTTAACATCCCTCCTCTGAATTATAAATTCCGGTAACACTTTATTTCAAATAAATGCTGTTCCTTTTGAACTTTCTATTTTAAGGAAAACAGAAAGGTATGTTTTCAAAACTATTATGCAGCAAAAATAGTTTTCAACATTGATCATAATAAATTATAATAATAATAAATGCAAAGCAGCATATTAGAACAATTTCGATGCCTTAGAACTTTAATTATTTCAGTATGATTGATATACGAAAATAGTTTCGCTAATATTTTGATTAGATAACTTCTATATTTTCACTTCAAATTGTTAAGTTTCAGTAATTTTGTTGGGTGCTTTCATCATTGCTATTATAATTGTTTTTAAATGTCTATAGTATTAATTTGTATTCATTAGTTTTAGTTTATTTAGTTTTAGTTATTTTAGTACTTAAACTAAATGAAAAAATTATACTACCTGAAATAAGTAAAAAAAAAAATTTAAAAAAAGTTAAGTTTATTTTAAATAAGAGAAAAGGTTTGGTTTTAGTTAACTATAACATCCCTGCTCTGAACTATAAATCCTTGTCCTTGTTACATGTACTTACTACATATAGTAATAACAGTAAATTATGAATAAAGACATGCAACTAACCCTAAACCAAATCCTAACGTTTGGAAATTTCTCAGTACTTAAATGTATAACTCACTGTAACAAGGACACCTTAAAATAAAATACAACCTAAACACTTTGCTGAGAAAACGACGGCAAGTGTCGCTCACTTTAGAGTCCAGTGCTTTCTTGATGCTGATCCTCCTCTGGATTCGGGCCTCTCCTCTCTCGATCTGAGCCATGATCTTCTCAATGTCCTGCAGCTCATTGCAGCGCTCCCAGAACACAGCTGCACACAAACACAACACATCTCGAGCACATGCTTCCTGTATATGGTTGAGCTGTGCGCTGGTGGACGGTGTATTGACATACCAGAATATTCCATGACCTCTTCCGGGGTTTTGCCCTCGACCTCACGGGCGATGTTCTCGATGTCGTCTCTTCCCCACTTCTCATTGGCCTTGATGAACTGATTGAAGTCACGCTTGGTCCAGATAGTAAAGCCCTGGGTATATAAGACATATTGACATGACTTCAGAATAGAATAAGGAGTTTAATGTTATTAATACACTGGGATTCATTACACTTAGAAGGTGTCAAGTAAATATGAGAAGATATGGAACTAAACTCCAGTGAGCCGTCACATGAATGACTTACCTGTGAGAGGAGGTTCTCCTTCTCCTCCAGCTCTTCCTCATTAAGAGGTTCAGCTTCATCGATCTTGGCCTGTTCCTCTTTCTGCATTTGGGCCGAGTTGGGCAGATCGGGGTTTCTTGGCACCTGTTAGTGCAGTGACATCATGCAACGGAAAATTTAGTAGGGATAATTGCTTCTGAAGAGTTTTTACGTTATTCACCGCTTCATTGAACTGCATGTTAATCTATGAACATACTGAAAGTTAAAATCACCATGAAACTTCATTTGCAATCCTTTCTACTTGTGTAATGTGCCATATTTCTAAATTAGACTTTGAATAAGAATGACACACAGAGTGTGTACTAAGTACACTACCGTTCAAAAATTTGGGGTCGTTACGTTAAAAAATACGTTTTTTTTTCAAGAAATTAATACTTTTATTCAGCAAGGATGTGTTAAATTGATCAAATGTGGCAGTAAAGACATTTATAATGTTACAAAAGATTTCTGTTTCAAATAAAAGCGGTTCTTTTGAATGTCCTATTCATCAAAGAATCAGCATATTAGACTGAAGGATAACGAGACAATGAAGACTGGAGTAATGATGCTGAAAATTCAGCTTTGCATCACATGAATAAAACATTTCAATATAAAACAGTTATTTTAACTTGCATTCGATTCACAGTATTATTGTAGTTTTGATCAAAAATGTAGCCACGGTCAGCATATGAGACTTGAGACAAAACCACACACAATAGTGTAAGAAGTGTCAATTTTGTGGACCCCAACATGAAGCTCAAAATATAGACACACCTTGTAGCCAATAGTCTTCCTGTAATACAGGATCTCTTTCTCCAGCAGCTCAAAAAGCCGAGGGGGAAAGAACTGGAAATCTTGAACATTGGGCTGTTTGGGAGGACGGGGAGCCTGAGGGAACAGGAGAAAGTCCATTAAAACAGCTCTAGAGTTTACAAATCAAGCGTGAGGGTTAATAATACCTTTGGTGCTTTGGGCTCGCTGACACGCAGGGCCTCTCTGAAGTAAGCATCCACAGCGTAGTTGGCCTTGCGCTCTCTCTTGGGCGGCTCAATCCAGTTAGTGATGACCTGAGCAGAAGGGGAGTTCAGATCAGTCTATCATTTTCAACCCAACACTATAATGACAAGTACTCGTTGCCGTTTGTAATGCATTACCTTTTTCTTTTCTCTGTAATCTTCACCCTCAAAGTTGTACACGCTGTTCTCTGTGTCCATGGTGAAGTTCCTCAGTGAGCTTTCTCCAAGATTGGCCAACTTCTCCTTCATCTCCATTGTCTAAAATAACCATTAGTAAAGTCATAAAGAGCATTTCTCTAAATTAACTGATACATTCTTTTCACACTTCAGTTTAGCTTTGTGAAGTCATTTCCCTAGATCAGGTCCTACCTTCTTCTTTCCTCTCTCCAAGATGGCATCAATGTCTTCATCGGTAATCTCGCTCTCCTTAGAGGCAAACACATGAGTGGCACCATGTCGAATGATGGACAGCATCTCGTCTTTGCCCAGTTTGCTCGTGTTTGGATCGACCAGCCTGCCTGTTGGGAAGCAACAGTATTAACTATACTAATGAAAAAATAAACAAGATGATGATGATGATGATGATAATAATAATAATAATAATAATAATAATAATAATAACAACAATCCCATGAATTAGAACATTTTTTAAATTAATTTAAAAAAAGTGACAATTATATTTTATAAAATATTAGATGGATACTAATTATAAAATATTTTGATTATATATACACTCACATGAATTAGAAAAATGAAAAAAAATTAAGGAAAAAGGTGACTAATAATTGTATAAAATATTATATAGATAGACTAATAATTTTATAAAAATTATATTTATTTATTTTTGACAAATTTTATTTAAGTAGCTTTCATTTGTTTCACATCTTACCTTGTTGAATGACAATAGAGTCCAAGCGGAGCTTCATTTCTGCACGTTCCACAATTCTTTCCTCCACTGTATTTTCTGTGATAAAACGGAACACGCGCACCTGTTTCTTTTGACCAATCCTGTGGGCACGATCCTGAACAAAGAAAATCCAATGAAAGTAAATTAACACTCCATTCCACAAGAGGTCTGATGCTGCTGCTGCTTTTTAAATCAGAGTTCTGGCAGAGGAATAAAAGCAATATGCTACACGAGTCCAAACATCAAAGCAACAACATAGAATAGACTAGATAGAAAAGAAAAAAAAAATCAGTGTGCATAGTGACCATAGCCTGAAGATCCACTTGAGGATTCCAGTCCGAGTCGTAGATGATGACGACGTCAGCAGTGGCCAGATTGATACCGAGACCTCCTGCTCTGGTGCTCAACATGAACAGAAACTTCGAGCTGTTGGGCTCATTGAAGGTGTTGATGGAGATCTGAGGAGATCAGAAGAATGTTACAGACTCTCATTCGTTTGTGCTTATTTATCACTGAGCTGTTCAGTTATGACAGAAGGCCAATTTATAATTATGACTCAAATCACTGTCACACCTGTCGCTCCTCATGAGGAGTCTGTCCGTCTAGACGGCAGTAACCGAAGTTGCGCCACATACAATAATCCTCCAGAATGTCCAGCACCCTGGTCATCTGACTGAAGATCAGCACACGGGAACCTGCAGGAAGAAAAAAAATGAGGCATGTAAAAACCATAAATTTATTGTTATCCCCCGTTAAGTATGTCGGACAGTAAAGCGGTCACCTTGCTCTTTGAGCTTCGGCAGCAGCTTGTCCAGTACCACCATCTTTCCGCTGTTGACCACCAGGTGGAGGTCAGTGGTGTAGGGTGGGCCAGGCTCCGCTCCATCAAACAAGTAGGGGTGGTTGCAGCACTTCCTGAGCTGCATCAGTACGTTCAACAGACGCATTTTATTTTTATTATGTTATCATGTTTTTATTGTGTTTTGTTGTGTTAGTTAGCTGTATTTGTTAGTTGTTTTTTACCTAATCAAAATAACCCGACTGCAGTATGATTGAGATTAATTGGAATGCACAATGAAAATGAAATGATTTTTGAAAAAAAAAAAATAATTAACAACATTTTATTATTAACATTCTCAATATTTAAAATATTTTTTATTTAAAAAAAAAACAACACAAAAAACATGTTTTGCTTAAATCTCTTAAATTCTCACTTTAAATGTTTTTATTAATATTATCAATATTTAAAATACCATTTTATGTACATAATATATATAAAAATACTTTTGAAATGTATCATTTAAAAAATACAATTATAAATGTTGCATTAATATTGCACTCAAATTAAGCCTGGTTTAGGACCATATGCTTAGATTTCTCAATCCAAAATATACTGTATATTTCCAAAATATATTGTCATTTCCTTTTGACCCAAGTATACATTTTAACAAACGTTTTCATGGCATTCACCCATTGATTCAAGCTATAAATGTCTACATAGTAGTCAAAGGAAAATGTACTCACAGTATGTAGACGTTCCACCAGTTCTGTGTCTCCCAGACAGTTATTGGTGTCAAACCAGGAATCAAAATCCTGCACAAAAAGAAAAGACAAAAGGCATTCATAACCGGTTCAGCTGCAAAAAGGGAATTTCAAAAGCACTCTTCACAACATGTGCTTCTGCCAGAGTTCTTGTGGCAATATGCAAGAAAGACGTGGCACCTCTGAGGAGTTGAAGACGTCAGGCAGCAGGAAGTTCAGCAGTGCCCAAAGCTCGTGAAGGTTGTTCTGTAGTGGGGTTCCAGTCAGCAGCAATCGATTTGTGGTCTTGAACTCTCTCACAATCTCTGAAAGCTGAGAGAACAAACTTTACTAGCTTACTTTTAGACTAAAGGAAACCATAGACTCGCAATCAATCTGTAACCGACTGTGGACAAACATGCTGCAGATGGAAGATGGATGCAACTGCAAACCTTTGATTTCTCATTCTTGATACGGTGAGCCTCATCAATGACCAGGTATCTCCAGTTGAACTTTTTGAAGACGGCCCTCTCGATAATAACCATCTCATAGGAAGTCACGCACACATCCCACTCGCCTGGCAGCAGTGTGTCACGGACAAAAGCCGTCTGCAACCAGAAGTGTTATTAGATGAGACAGTTTATGATAGTTTATAAAAAAAATTAATAAAAAAAAAAAAGTATTCTTCTAGCTCTAATACACAATATCATCACAGGAAATCCCTGCTTACTCTTTCATCCCTGTCCCCAATGAGGCAGACAGCTCGTAGAGAGGGAACCCAACGCTTGAACTCGTTCATCCAGTTATACAGGGTGGATTTGGGCACCAGAACCATGTGAGGTCCAGGAATGTTTCTATAATGCTTCATGTAGCCCAGCAGAGAGATGGTCTGTAGAGTCTTACCAAGACCCTGATGGGACAAAGGAAGACAAGAAGTGTGAGCCATTTGTAATGGGCACAGATTAAAACCAATTTCTGGGTGCTGAAATATTTTATAACTATAAAAAAAAAGAAAAGAAAAATGGACTATGGGATTTTCCATAACTTCAACAGGTTTGGAATCCACAATTTAAATGCAAAACAATTATATGAAATTTCTTCATTTACTACTAAAAGGACAATGAATCAGTGGGTGGAGTCATACCATTTCATCAGCAAGGATCCCGTTGATTCCGTTCTCATAGAGGGAAATGAGCCAGTTCAGTCCACGGACTTGGTAGTCTCTCAGTTTGCCATTTTTCACATCTGTTAAGAAACGTTCATTGGCCACAATAAGCTTTCCTTACAATTACCATTTCATTTAATATAAAAACACTGTTCTAAGTGTTTATAAAAGAGATGGAGGGTTTTACTGTGCGTTTAACTCACAGGAAGGCGACTCGTCAAAACGTGTGCAAACGCTAGTGGCCTTGCTGCTTTCACTCAGCAGCTCCTCGTCCTCCTCCTGCTCAGTCCGACGGTGGCGGTTACTAAAAACGCACACAAAATCAGTAAGCAGGGAGCGATTATCTGATAAACACATTACTAACATATGGAGTTACGAACTAAATCGATAATAAGTGCAGTACTTAGGGCTGCATGATTTATGGGGAAAAATCTAATTGCAATTTCAATTTAAACTGATTTAAAAAAGAAAAACTGCAAGTTTTGCTCTGCTCGTCTGCAGGGATGCACAATTTGGACACAAATTTAAGATAGATAGATAGATAGAGAGATATATATATATAAAAACCGATAAACGCCACTTAAAAAAAAAAATTGCCATGCATTATTCTTCACATATAGCGCAATCTGAACCCTCAACACGTTGTCAAAAAAGCCAGTTTTGTCTACTTTCAAGGCATCGCGAGTTCACATTTTACTGCAGAAGCCGACAAGAGCCCTTGTTGTTTTTGAACAGAAGCCGATAAGTTCATTTTAGCGAATCAGCGCGCTGTATTCAGGTCAAGTGACAAGGCTACTTTCACTTTGAAAAGACGTGCTAGCTGAGAGGAGTTTCGCCAAAGCTGACTAAAAGTGATCGAGGATGAATAATTTCGACGAACTTGAACCTGCGATATCTTCTTCAGGGCGAAAAAGGAAAATAAAAGCTGAAACGTTTTCACGGAACTTTGCAAAGGCAGCGCGTTACAATGGTGAGGGAAAAGCTCCGTGTATTGCGTGTAACGTTAATCACATCCACACAGTTTATGATCACAACAACAACAACGTTTGTCAGGCATCTACATTGTCATCTGAGGAGATTACAAAGATTAAACGAGTGTTTTTTTTAAACTCTAAAACATGAAATGTGGAGTTATCTGCTTTTGCCAAAAAACGACTGTTGGAGTTATCTGCTTTTGCTATAAAACAAACTTTTAATGTAAAAAAAAAAAAAACATACTTTCAATGAAATATGAATATATCGCAATAATCAATATATCGACTTATCGCGCAATATATGTACATGACCTCAATAATTTTTGGTGACGCAATATATCGCACATTATATTTACTTAAAAATTAATGTCACCATGTTTTGTACATTCCACTTGCGCCTGTGTCTTTTGCAGCTTCTCAAACATAACGTGGTGTAGTTGGTGCTAGTTCAAATTTAAAAAATGTCTCTACAAACAAAGTTTAATCTGCAGATATGGTCTTGTTTAGGGATCTGTGTCTTTGTGCATACGGACATCTGACTGCTAAGTAGCGATTGTGTTTTTCAGCAATAGTGAGCACCCTTAATTTACAGAGAAAAGGTCTGGGAAAAATCTGTAGATGGAAAAATCTCCAAACAAGTTCTTTGTGCATTTTTCTTTTTTTGTAC